CAACAACATTACCAAAATAAGTGCTCATTGCAATGTTCCTAACTCCCAGGAAAGCAATGGTTAGAAAAACTAGAAAGTTTAAAATGGAATATCTTATCATAGCAAAATTCTTCACAGAAATAAAAAAAATGAAAATGAAGCTGCAGCCACAGTAATTTTCTGAGTGGCTCATTTGTTAGCCGAGCAAGGAAAACCATTTACTGATGATGAGTTAATTAAGTCACATTTGATTGCAGAAGCCAAAGAAATGTGTCCAGGGAAAATAAACTTTTCAAAGACTATTAGCCTTTAGGCAAGAAGAGTGGCTCAAAGAGTTGAGGACATTGGAAGCAACACCAACAGTCATTTAAAAAAACAAAACAAAACCAGGGCAGGGGCACCTGGGTGGTGCAGTTGGTTTAGCCACTGACTCTTGGTTTCAGCTCAAGCCCTGATCTCAGAGTCATGAGATCGAGCCCCAAGTCGGGCTCTGTGCAGAGTGCCCAGTCTGCTTAGGTTTCTCTTTCCCTCTCTCTGCACACCCCCCTTTCTCAAATAAATAAATAAATCTTAAAAAGAAAACAGTGCAAACAATTTCAAGTTATTTTCCTCGGCTCTCAATGAGGTGACAGATGTTACCAATACTGTTCAGTTGTTGTACTTTGCTCAAAAAGCCAATGCTGAATTTAGTGATGGAAAAATTGGCCCGTGTGGATAGTCTGTGTGGAATAACTCAGATAAGAATATTTCCTTTTAAGATTTTATGTATTTATTTGAGAGGGAGAGAGAGACAGAGCGTGCACAGAAGTAGAGAGAGGGAGAAGCAGAGTCCTCACTGAGCAGAGAGCCCGAGGTGGACTTGATCATGACCTGAGGCTAGTGCAGATGCTCAACCAACTGAGCCACCCAGGCTCATCCCAGATGAGAATATTTCCAGAGAAGTCAAGAAAATACTAATTCACTACAACCTAAAGTAGAATCTGCTAAGATGTGTTATAAATATGTATGGAGGAGAACAAGACTTAGACAAATGTACAAAGCTTGTGAAAATGTGAGTTTTTTAAAGCCTCTGGTTATTCATTGTATTATTAAACTGTATTTTTGCAGGAAAATATTTGAGTCTCTCTTGTCTATTTCAACCATTAGTGTCAACACTTCATTTACTCAGGGGCTAAACCACTGTTAATTACACAAGTTTTTGTCAGAAATAGAAGCAGAAGATTCTGACTTGCCCAACCAACAGTTCAGTAGGTAAGCGAAGTTTTTCTGAGTTAAAAGAAATTTTTTTTTGAGCTTAGGGCTGAGCTTGAAAATTTTCTGAATGAGGGGATCCCTGGGTGGCTCAGTGGTTGGGCATCTGCCTTTGGTTCAGGGCATGATCCTGGAGTCCTAGGATCGAGTCCCACTCTGGGCTCCCTGCATGGAGCCTGCTTCTCCCTCTGCCTGTGTCTCTGCCTCTCTCTCTGTGTGTCTCTCATGAATAAACAAGCTAAAATCTAAAAAAAAAAAAAATTCTGAATGAGAAGAATCACCTACAACCATTATTATTGAACACTGGATGGTTTTTTAAATTAACTTTTTTTTAAATTTATTTATGATAGTCACAGAGAGAGAGAGAGAGAGAGAGAGAGAGAGAGAGAGAGAGAGAGAGGGCAGAGAGAGAAGCAGGCTCCATGCACTGGGAGCCCGATGTGGGATTCGATCCCGGGTCTCCAGGATCGCGCCCTGGGCCAAAGGCAGGCGCCAAACCGCTGCGCCACCCAGGGATCCCTTAAATTAACTTTTGCTGTAGACTTAATGTTACTTAATACACTTAAACTCAAATTACGAGGCAAAACACTGCTTATATGTGAAACTTACATTTCAGTAAAGTCATTTCAATGACAATTAACATTGTTTGAATCACAAGTAATGTCATTACTTTAATCTCTTCCTGTACTGTCAAAAATGAAAACAAAAATCAAGATTTGCATTCCCACACCAATCTACAATGAATATATTTTCTGAGCTCAAATTACAGTTTCAGTGTTTTTCGGAACTTGATGCAAAGTGCAAAAGAAGTTTCTGTATTTAAGAATCAATTTCACTGTGCATTTTAGGAGCTTCCACCTAAATTTCAATTGGAAGTGATTATTCTTTTAGCAATGTAATGACATGCTAAAAGGCAAATATCAAGAGAAGAATGTAATTGAATTCCGTAAATACCTTCTAAAAGATGAATATGCTCAATTAAAATCAGGTATTTGGTATCAGTATTTGGCAGTACTTATCTGTGTTAAAAATTTTTTCAAAGATGAAATACATAAAATCTCATTACAGATAAGTATTAACAGATGGATATTTGCAACTGATTTATTAAGTCCTTTATTATTAACAGGTGCTGGGGCGCCTGGGTGGCACAGTTGGTTCAGCATCTAACTCTTGGTTTCGGTTCAGGCCATGATCTCAGGGTCATGACATCGAGCCCTGCTTTGGGTTTCACATTCAGCACAGAGTCTGCTGAAGACTCTCCCCATCTCCCTTTGCCCCTGCCCTCTAAAAAAAAATAAATCTTTTAAAAAAGACCTTTATTAACAGGTGCTTTCATTTTGTTGGCTCTTGTAAAAAGTTGTAAACTTTTATTACAAATTAAAAATGAGGTTCTTAGGGGACGCCTGGTTGGCTCAGCAGTTGAGCATCTGCCTTTGGCTCAGAGCGTGATCCCGGAGTTCCGGGATATAAATATAAGTTATAAGTTCCACTTATATGCAGAATCAAAGCATGTTGCAAATGATAAGCTCTCCTCCTTTCTATGCTTGAGTAATATTCCATTGTGTTTGTGTGTGCGTGTGTGTGTGTGTGTGTAGCACACTTCTTTTATATTTTATTTAATTCGTATTCATTTGAGGTCTAGCAAATGGCTTTAAATTCCCCTTGGTTTAGGGATCCCTGGGTGGCGCAGCGGTTTGGCGCCTGCCTTTGGCTCAGGGCGCGATCCTGGAGACCCGGGATCGAATCCCATATCGGGCTCCTGGTGCATGGAGCCTGCTTATCCCTCTGCTATGTCTCTGCCTCTGTCTCTCTCTCTGTGACTATCATAAGTAAATAAATTAAAAAAAATTCCCCTTGGTTTACATTTTGTCTATCTTAAACCCTACACTTCTTCTAGCCAAACTGTCAATTTTTAGTTGCAAGCTCCTGCTGCCTTCAGTGAGTTCTCTGTTAAAAATTCACTGTTTGGTGTCTTCATTTGGATTTTTGAAGTTATCTAATGGACTCTATCTCAGTGTCCTTATTCTGGATTGCTTCAGGCAATGTCCTCCACAAAGAATGTTCTGGGAGTTTCTGGGTTGGGAAAGGAAGGGTGGAAGATGTCCACTTATGGCTGTGGCAAACATGCCTCCGTTTGCCAATCATTTACATGAATTAGTATTCACAATATATAACTCTTACAATTCAACAATAAAATGACAGCCCATTTGGAAATGGGCAAAAAATTTGAATAGACATTTCTCCAAAGATACATAAGTGACCAATCAGCATGTGAAAAGGTGCTCAACATGAGCCAGCAGGGAAAGGAAAATCAAAACCACAGTGAGATATCACTTCACACTCACCAGAATGGTTATGATCAAAAAGACAAAAATAATTATTGGTGAGACTGTAAAGAAATCAGACCTCTCCCCCATATATATTCTGGTGGGGATGTGAAATGGTAGAGGTGCTTTGGAAAACATTCTTGGCAGTTCCTCAAAACGTCAAACAAAGTTACCACATAACCCAGCAATTCCACTCCTAAGTATGCAACAGAGAGAACTAACAACATATGCCCTCACAAAAACTTGTCCACTGATGTTCACAGTAGCATTGATCATTATATCCAAAAAGTGGGAACAGCCCAAATGTCCATTAACTGGCGAAGAAACAAAATGTGGGGGCAGCCTGGGTGGCTCAGCGGTTTAGCGCCACCTTCAGCTCAGGGCCTGATCATGGAGCCCCAGGCTCGAGTCCCACATCGGGCTCCCTGTAAAGAGCCTGCTTCTCCCTCTGCCTGTGTCTCTACCTCTCTGTGTCTCATGAATAAATAAATAATAATAAAATCTTAAAAAATAAGCAAAATGTGGGATAACCATGAAAAAGAATGAAGTTCCTTTTTATTGATTCATTACTAATTTTTTTTTACCCATTCACACTACAACATGGACAAACCTTGAAAACATTATGCTAAGAAGCCAGACACCAAATGGCACATTCTATATGATTTCATTCGAATGAAATGTCCAGAAGAGGCAACTCCATAGAGATGAAAAGTAGATTAGTGATTGCCAGGGGCTGGGAAAAAGTGGGGAGTGACTGCTAACTATATGGGATTTCTTTGGGGATGATGAAAACGTTCTGGAATTTTTTTTAAAAGATTTTATTTACTTATTCATGAAAGACACAAAGAGAGACACAGGCAGAGGGAGAAGCAGGCTCCATACAGGGAGCCGCACACCGGACTCGATCCCGGAACCCCGGGATCGCACCCTGGGCGGAAGGCAGACGCTCAACCGCGAGCCACCAGGGCTGCCCAATGTTCTAGAATTAGATAGCGGTGATGGTCCCACAACTTTGTGAATATACTAAAAACCATGGCATTATACCCTTTTAAGGATGAACTTCATGTTATATGAATTTTACCTCAAGTTTAAAAATACCTCTACTTCATTAGGGACTCATCCAGAATACAGCCATTAAAATCAAAATCATATTTAGAGGCACACCTAAAACGTGTATTATGCCTATAACGTGTAAATGCAGTTCTTTGTTCTACCTGGTTTTATGTATCTGCATATACGTACGTGTACAGAAATACACGTGAATAATTGAAGTAGTACTAAGGGCGTCCCAAGTAAAGCAGTCCCAGCTAACTCGGGCCAAAGCAAAGGAGGTTCTGAGAGGCTGAGGACCCCCCCGCACATCCCGGCCTAATGGTACTGCCCGGAAGTCCACCGGACTCCTACTGACACGTGACCAGCGTTGCGGCTGGGAAAGGGCTCGACGCGTGGCTCTGCCGTCATTTCTGCGCGACCACAATTTTTTGGCATTGAGTTTTTGGGCTTCTCCCCCGAACTATGCCTAAAGTAGTATCCCGGTCGGTAGTGTGCTCTGACACCAGGGACCGGGAGGAGTATGACGACGGCGAGAAGCCCCTCCACGTCTACTACTGCTTGTGTGGCCAGATGGTCCTGGTGCTGGGTGAGTAGTCGGGAACCCGAGGGCGTCTGCAAGAAGCCAAACTTCGGGGTCTCGAGGGTGGATTTTCTCTGGCTGGGATCTGGGAGGCGCGTCTCTAAAGATTGGTGGGCTTTCCTGCTCCGCCGAAATCCTCGCTATACATCCCTGCCCCCACTCCGGGGCAGCTATTCTGTTTTTCTGTTTAACCTTGTGAATGTATCCAGACTCCCCTCAAAACTAAATTCCTTCTGCAGAAAAAAGAAACCGTTTATTTTCCTTTCCTCCCATACCGCCTTCAGATCCTTTGTAACTTTTCTGCTGGATGCTGAGATGCTGTCATAGCTCTTATCTTAAACGAGAATAAAACCCTCCCTTGATCCTACATCCTTGTCCAGCTGTTACCCCATTTCATTGCTTCTTTTACAGCAACATTTCTAAAAAGAGTTGCCTGTATTGGCTGTCTCTGCATCCTCACTTCTCATTCCCTGTTTACCTCACTTCAGGCAGGCTTCCCTTCCCCACTCACCATCTAAACCATATTTGTCAAGGTCAGTAACCTACTGTTAGTAGCCTCAGTGGTCAATTATCAATGCTCATTTTAGTCCTCTTTTCATTGTCATTTGATAGAGATGATGGTTCCAGCCTTCTTAAAACATTTTTTTTTCATTTGTTTCCAAGACTCCACTCTCTTGATTTTCCTCCTACAAGAGGGCAAGATTTTGCCTCTGGTCACTATCTAGCTCCTTTTCTGACTCTGATTTTTAGGCATTGCAATGTCCTAGGGCTCAGTCCTTTCACCTCTTCGCAATCTGTACTCCCTATCAAACTCCAGCTGCCTATTCCATGTCTTCACTTGGATGTCTAATGGGTCTCTTAAAGCGATCGTGTTCAAATCGACTTCATGATCTCCTAAGTCCAGCTCTCCACTGTTCCACCCTAGTGCAGTCAGTGGTACCACTATTCACCAGGATCTCAGAATCAATCATGACTTCTCTCTCTTACCTTACACACATCCAATCCATCCACACATTTTGCCAGTACTTCCTTGAAAATCTATCCAGAATCTGACTACTACTTACCACTTCCATTTCTGCCACTCTACTCTAAGCCACCATTGTCCCTCACCTGGAATTGCCACAGTCTCTTACTCTCCACTCTTTGTCTCTAGTGGTCTGTTTTCCACACCACAACCAGAATCCTGTTCCAAACTGGTGTCTTCCTGTAAAACCAAAGTCCATACCTAGACGCTGCATGATCAGATTCTCAGCTACCTCTCCGACTCACCTCCTAACACTCTTCTGGCTCACTGCACTCCAGTTACAGTAGCCTTCTTGATTTTTCTTCATTGTGTCAAAATGTTCTACCCTGAGGGCCTTTGGGATTGGTATTTTTTCCTGCCTTGAACCTCTTCCCTTGGTGCTTCCTTATTTCATTCAGGTCCCTGCTGAATTGTCCTTTCCTTAGAAAGCTCTTCCCTGACTATCTAAAATGGCACCCTTGTTACTCTTTGTTCTCTTACCCTGCCTGATTTTTCTTGGTAGCACTTATCACTCTCTGGGATTGCTGTCCATCCTCTTTAATATCCTGCTAATTTTTTTATTAGCACTTATCATTATCCAAGGTCATGTTATATAATTCTTGTCGTTAAATTTTCTGCCTCTTCCACTAGAATGTAAACTTCATCAGGGCAGGAACTTTGCTTTGTCCTTTGCTGAATCCCCAGCACCGTGTTTGAACTGCACCTGGTACACTGCACCTGGTATGGAGAGTGCCCTCGCATCTTTGTTGTGTAAATGAGTTCTCTTTTGATTACCTAGAGTTGAACCTGAATTCTTGGTGTTTTTAGTAAATGTGTGGCAAGGAAGCCTCAATACGCTCATTTCTATTTTTTTAAAAATAAATCTCTTTTTAGAAATTTATTTATTTGACAGAGACTGAGAGAGCACAAGCGGCGGTGGGGGGTGGGGGAGCAGCAGGCAGAGGGAGAGGGAGAGGGAGAAGCTCAGCGGGGAGCCTGATGCCTGGGCTCAATCCCAGGACCCTGGGATCATAACCTGAGCCGAAGGCAGATGCTTAGCCCACTGAGCCACCCAGGTGTCCGAATTCTCTCATTTCTAAATTAGGAATACAAAATGTCTACTGCAGCAGGTCATTGTGAAGATTAATGAACATGGGAACTGCCTGGTGCTCTCTAACTCCCCCTCCTTCTCTATTAATCTCAAATCACTGTGATCACTTGACTTCCCTGTAACCCTGTGGGTACTTAATTTGCATTATATCAATTTCCATCTGCTTTTTAAATGCTCCTCATTTATTTCCTGTATGTTTTTATTGTTTTCAGGTTGACACTCTTCGAGTTGGTTGGGGTTATTTGCATACCACATGTAGCACGTCACTGACCCTCTCTTTCTCCTTTTCTAAGCACTTAACCACTTTTCCCAATGCTTTCCTCTTAGGGATTTCCGGATGCTTGATTGTCTGGTTCTCAGGCATTAGAACACAAACTAAGCGTACCACAATCACAGAAACACTCATAGCAAACTTGCAGTGCTGGAAAGGATTTTTGAGATATTGTTACCTACTTATTATCCTTTAAGGAAAAAAAAAACAAAAGGAAGTAATTTGCCAAGGATCACCAAGATGGTCACAGAGCTCCAGATCTTCTGACACCAAATTATTTTCAGTTGGGAAATTGAATAATAGGCTTCAACAAGCACAGTAATTTTAGTAAAAAGTTACAGTGCCGAGGGCCCCACTGAACACTTGCAACTGCCCCAGGGTATTTTTCAGTGGCTCTAGTGACCGAATCTTTCTCCATTTCTTCAGACTGTCAGTTAGAGAAATTGCCCATGAGGCCCCGGGATCGGTCCCGTGTGATTGATGCTGCCAAACATGCCCACAAGTTTTGTAACACAGAAGATGAGGAGACCATGTATCTTCGGAGGTAAGAGGTCGATGCCCTCTGTCTAGGATTTCCTTGATGTGTTTTGGTCAGGTTGTGCAGAATATAAGTACCCTACCTCGTGCTAACCAGGTCTTCCTTAAGGGCCCAGCCCTTCGATGTTTGTATTAGCTCTCTACCTTCTGTTAATGCAGCAGTACCTTTGCTGTGCTCTGTTGAAATGCTGTTGTGATGTGATTCTATTGCTATTTGAGCGCTGTAATTTGGTGGTTTTTTTTTTTCCAAGTAGAATGAGTTTATTCAGCCTGTGATCTCTTGGAGCATGCCATGTGCCAGGTACTCAGCTAGGGACTGCCTCTGTGGAGATGAATAAGGTGCTGCCTTTACCATTAAAGAGCCCATGGCTCTGTGGGGGGACTGGCCACCTGTTGTGATATGATAAAGTGCTGGTGTGGTGAGCAGAAAGCTACAGGAGAACAGATGGGAGTGGGTCATTCTCCTGAGTGGTGGTCAGGAAAGGCACCAAAAGATGATGGCATTTGAGTTTGGCCTTGAACTAGGATCTCACTAAGGAGATGAAGGGGGCTGAGGAGCATCCCAGATGGAGGGAATATGGAAGCATTGAAAGGAGCACTTATGGTGTGCTTGGGAAATTTGAATGGTCCTTGGTGACTATAGCCCAGGTTACTTTATAGGAAGGGGTTCATGCATCCAGAGGTGGGGACAGAGTGAAATGCCAAAGTAGATGAGTTTGGACCTTACCTGCCAGTGAGAGACATCTCTCTTAAGCAGGGAACTGACATGTCTAGATCTGTTTTAGATTTGGGAGTCCTTGGTTGAGATAAGGAATTGAAACCTGGAAAGGCCTAACATTATGTGGAGAATGGAGCAAGAAGAGAGTGGACTGAAGATACAGTCCTGGGAAACGTTGGCATTTAAAAAAGCAGGCAGAGTACTTGAAACCTGGCCATGTGGGAAACGGGAAGAGAGAGTATCAGGAAGTGCGTATTTCTGGGGAGGGTGGTCACCAGCTGGTGCCTGATGCCACAGAGAAGTCGGTTGTAGGGAATTAAAAAGTCCATACATTCCCTCATGTACATTTCATTTCCTGAGCTCCTTCTCTGTGCCAGGTACTGTCCTAGAAGCCTACGATGTGCCAGTGGATTCGTTTGGTAGGGCCCCTGTAACAAAGTACCACAAACTAGGTGGCTTAAAACAACAGAAATCATCTCACGTTTCTGGAGGCTAGAAGTCTGAAATGAAGGTGTTGTCAGGCCCATGGTCTCTCTGAAGGTTTTAGGGAAGGATCCTTCCTTGACCCTTCCTAGTTCTGGTGGTTGCCAGCAGTCCTTGGCATTTCTTGGCTTTTGTAGATGCAACATTAAGGTCTCTGTATCATCACTTGGCCTTCTCCCTGTTTCTGTTTTTCTTCTCTTCTTTTTATAGGGACACCACTCACAGTGGATTAAGGGCACATTCTGCCTATCTTCATGACCTCATCATAACTAATTATATCTGCAACGACCCTCTTTCCAAATAAGGTCACATTCTGAGGTTCCTGGAAGGACATGGCTATAAGGGATACCATCCAACCCAGTACAACCAGTAAACAAGCAAAGAACCCTGCCTGTATGGAGCTTGTATTCTACTATTGAGCTGGGAAAAGCAACAGGCTGACATGGTACTATGTTAAGAAACCAAACTCTTGTCAACCCATACTAAAGAAAAGAATCAGAAGTACCGCTAGGTGACATTCAATAGCAAATCAGGCCTTGAGCACCATTTTGACAACCGGGCTTCTAGAATTGTGCAACTGAAGAGAAAGTTGGTTATATACAAGATACAACTTTAGGCTGATAATACAACCAGATCATAAAATTTGATGAGATCTACAAAGGAATATCCTTTGGGATACATGGGGAAACCCTTCATCCCTTCATTATGATATATAGGAAGTTTACAAGTAAGATGTTCAATCTAAAACCTGTTGTCTTGTGTTTTTTCTCCCTTCATTAACCCTTACTTAGTTTTCTGATTTTGAAAATTGTACACTGTCTTTAAGATCACTAAGATATTATGCATTTAATATGTATATCATAATTATAGTAATGTGTAACAGTATTAGCATATATTGAATGGATGTATATTATTCACTTAATACAGAAACTGATCTAAGGGCACCTTGGTGGCTTAGTTGGTTGAGCATCTGCCTTCAGCTCTGGTCATGATCTCAGGGTCCTGGGATTGAGCCCTGCATCAGGATCCCTGCTCAGGGGGGAGTCTGCTTCTCTGTCCCTCCCCCTGCTTCTGCATGCACACATACTCTCTCTCATAAATAAATAAATAAATAAATAAATAAATAAATAAATAAATAAAATGTTTAAAAAAATACAGAAACTGATCTAACAATGCAGCCAGGCCACAGGTCCCTGTGGCACTGAAAGGTAGGTGCCCTCACCTCTAAGCCAGAAAACTGAGTGGCCTTAAGCTGAAGTAGGAACCCTGGAATCCAACCAACTTGGTCCTAGAAGTGAGCCAGCTTTGGGACTGAGCCTTAGGTATTGCCCAGGCTTGTGGCCTCTGGCCAAGTGACTCTGTTGGGCCAGAGAGTTTTTTCTTTTTAAAGATTTATGTATTTATTCATGAGAGAGGCAGAGACATAAGCAGAGGGAGAAGCAGGCTCTCCACAGGGAGCCTGATGCGGGACTTGATCCCAGGACCCCGGGATCACAACCTGAGCCAAAGGCAGATGCTCAACCACTGAGCCACCCAGGTGCCCCTGGCCAGAGAGTTCTTCGAATTTACCAACAAGGCAGGGTTAGCTTCCCCTTTAGTTGACATAGTTCCTGCTCTAATCATGAGCAGTCTTTCCAGTGGCCCACTCTAGTGCATTCCCTGCTGGCCAGGGTGGAATTTCAGCCTGCTCTTCCTCTTTAGCCTGCTGTATTTGAGAGCACTGTTGCTGAACATGAAGCAGTCTGCCCACCATATGCCCTGGAGCCAAGGGACGCCTGGGTGGCTTAGTCAGTTGAATGCCCGACTCTTGATCTTGGCGCAGGTCTTGGTCTCAGGGTCATGAGTTTGAGCTCCACGTTGGGCTCCATGCGTGGAACCTACTTTAAAAAAAAAAAAAGAGTACATATGCCCTGGAGCCTATCACTGTCCACCTCCAAGTCTTCCATTCTGAAGTTCCTCTCTTCTTTTTTTAAAAGTTCTTCTCTTTTGACACTCTTGTTCCCCCAGCCCTCTTTCCCATCCACCAGTCCCATGGTTGTAAACCCAGTGCTTTTCTGTCTGTATCTCTGTATCATGCCTTCTCTGATGCTCTCCTTCCTTGATTTCTGTGAAGCTGCTCTTGAGATTCTCCCAATTTTTTGGCTTTCTCAGTCTTCTGGATTCTTCTGTGAGCCCATTAAATGTTGATATTTCCCAGGGCTTTGACCTTGATTTTATCCCCTCTCTCTTTATACTCTCCTTGGACGTTCTCATGATCTTTCATGGCATCAGTTACACTTATATGCTGATGACTCATAAAATCTAGATCTGCCTACATTTCTCTCCCGTACCCAGAACTGTAGATCTGTTTTCTCTGCCTCTTCACCTGATGTTCTATCTCAGATCCAACATGACTAAGGCCAAGCTCATCATTTCTCTAATATGGGAAATACTGCAGTTTAGCTGCCCTGGTACCACTGTGACACTCTTCTTTTATACCCACCTATATACTGGTGTCTGCAAAGTTAGGATATATATTCCAGCGCCCCCCCCCCCAAAAAAAAAAAAAACCTTAAGATTCTGAATGTGACTAAACTTTTGCCAAGTAAAAGGGATAGAAGTCAAAGTTGTTAGGTAGGGCTTCCGAGGAAAGGCGTTTTTACTCTTCTATTCTTATTCCTTCCTGCTTTTTGGGAAAATGGACATAATTGGAACACCAGCAGCCATCCTGGAACTAGGAAGGAAAGGCCACCAGAATTGCAGAGCTTTCTCCATCACTGTCATTATTAGGTCCCAGTCACTGCCATAAACCACAATTTTTTTTTTTTTTAAGAAACAGAGTGTGTCCCAAGGAGGCACCATGCCTCATGGAGCCCATGTAGGACTTGATCTCACAACCCTGAGTGCTCCCCCTTCTGGATGTCTTTTACAGGAGAACAAACCATTGTGTTGAAGCCACTGTAGACAGGTCTCTAACTATCAGCCAAACATAGTTCCTTCCTTCTCCTTTTTTTTTTAAAGATTTATTTGTTCATTCATGATAGAAAGAGAGAAAGAGGCAGAGGGAGAAGCAGGCTCCATGCAGGGAACCCAATGTGGGACTCGATCCCGGGACTCCAGGATCGTACCCTGGGCCAAAGGCAGGCGCCAAACCACTGAGCCACCCAGGGATCTCCCTTCCTTCTCCTCCTGTGATGACACCTCTATTCATGCAGTGGCCCAAGCTGGAATCTGCAAACCAGTGCTCCTTTTGTCTAATCCCTCCCCAACCCCACCATCCCATGCACACATCCAGTCGCTCACCATGTCCTGTTGACTCTACCTTCTAATCTCTCTTGTGGTTGCCTCCTGTTTAGCCCCGCTGCAATGTCATCATTCCAGTACCTACCATTGCTTGCTTGGGCTGTTGAAGTGGCCTCTCATCTGGTCTTTTTGCCTCTCATTTTGTTCTCCTCCAGTATGTTGTCTACTGCCTGAGTAGTCTCAAATGCACATTACATCGGTCTCCTGCTGCAAATCTTTTAGTGACTCTTCATCACCTACAGCAGTGCTTTCAAACATCTTTAGACAATGAATCCTTTCTTCAAATGAAGTGCTTGTCCAGAAGTATACATAAGCGGAAAGCTGCTGTGATTGGGGAAGAGTCGAGCCCAACCATTTAAGGACTCCTCCCCTTCCCCTATCCAGTTTCATTTAGGAGTCATGGTGGAGTACATTATTAGAAATAATGGTTAGCAGGGTAAAATAAAAGTCTGAAGGCTCTCTATGATTTCACCTTGGCCTGCCTATTCATCCTCATCTCCTGGTACTTCGTGATTTTTTTTCTT